TAATTAAATACATTCTAGACGGCTTTCATGGAGGGTAATTTTTGTAAACGAGCAGTTATTTTGATGTATATTAGTTTTAGAAGGTGGTTGAGTATCAAGTGCAGAGTTTGTAAAATTCAAATTCTAATATGAGCTTTAGAATCTTAACAGAAAAGGCTTAGTTTAAGGGGAAGGGAGGAGCCAAACTCCTCTGGTGGTCAGAGCGGTGGTTAATTATCAGATAGTTCTTGGTGACTTGGGCACGGATGTAAAGAACTTCTAAGACTTAGCTGGGAAATTCGGTGGTTTTTAGCTCACGCCTGTATTGCTGCTACATCTCAATGCAGTAACTGTGAATCCTGAAGTTGATGTTAACTTCTCTCTCTTTTTAAGACTGTATTTACTTTTCTCATCAACACGAGGATTGGGAATGGGAAGAAATCTCCCTTTGAAGAAAACACTTCCACTGGGATTCCACTGCGTCACGGACTTGTCTTGAGGGTGTGTTTGAGCGTTTGATTCCGTGCAGGGGGAAGGAGCCGGGTGAGGAGTCGGGGAGACTCTGCCTTCTCTTCTCGCTTGCAGGAGAGGCGAGGGCGTGCACCTTCCACCTGGGAAGTTCCTTTCTTGCTGCCCTGCCTGTGTGACTTGAGAAGTCCAGGTCTGAGGAGAAAGGGCACTTGGTCTCTGCTCTCTGTTTTCGACTCCTGTGCCACGAGGCCAGCGCTGGTGACAGAAGAGCCTTTTCGTCACGACGGGCCTTTCTGCCCAGAGCTGGGCTGTGAGCTCCTTCCTAGGGAGAGGTCAGAAAATAGCAGTGCCTGGGATTGAGGACACCAAATCAAGCCCAGTCGGTTTTAAAAACTCCAGGCAACTTGCTTTTCTGTGCCCCTGGCTGCTGTGGGAGAAAGCCTTCCTGAGAAATCTCAGACATATCCAACCGGGAAACTCTGAACTGATTTGAACAACAGGATTTGCCTATAATGCGGTCTCTAAAACTTCCAGTTAATCCTTTAACCAGAATTTAATTTCCAATTAAGATGTACTAATACATTTCTAATTCTAATCTGCGCTCGTTTTACTGCTTATTAGCCTCAGCATGCTGAAGAGAAAGCTTTTTACGGTGAAAAGCTAAAATTGATAAGAAAGCTTGGTATAGAAACTGCAAGCCAGCAGAAGAGCCGTTATCGTGACATCTTACTTCCTGTATTCACCAGATACCTTGGTTATTTTTTATCAAACGGACACCCCACCCTTTTATTACGGTTATAGGAATCACGTTTTTATGTATTAAAAAGGGCATTTTGAAAGAAGCGGTTACAGCAGGTTTTGATTGACTCAATTCCAGGGTCAAATTTGCCGTTCAGTTACAGTTTCAAGTTCTGTCCGTAAGTTTGCAGTTTTCCCAGAATTTTGGGGGAAGCATTTAAAGAAGTTGGAAGTGTTGAATTTTAATAAATGCTCCCTTTGAGTCCCATCTGCGTATTTTGGACACTTAGAAAGTCTGCAGGAGAACTGGATATGCTTTCAGGGATATGTTTTCTCGCTTTTTTTTTTTTTTTTTTAAGTGTATAACTTGAATCTCTCCCTACAAACACAGCTGTATGTCCAGCAAACTTTACCCCAATCTAAGTGGAAAAATTGAGGTGGTTCATATAAATGGGTTCCCATAAAAACTAACATCGGGAAGAATGTTGCATTGTCAGCAAGTCAGTAGTTGTGTTAAATCTAGGATTTTTGATTTCTTACCAAAGTTGTGCTTGTCCGGTTCCATTAACCAGGGTGAGATCATGTCATGTTACTTAACTGTTGGCTGATTTAAGAATGTAATTGCTTGCAAATTCCTGATTACTACATGGAAAGGTAACGATTCCTTTCCTGCTTGCTCTAAAGTCGCTGCTACTGCCTCGCGGACTGAGATTTGCAGAAATTTGTTGTTTTTCACATAACTTCAAATCTGGCGAAGCAGAAGCCTTTTATTTGGGGAACGTTTACAGCGATTCTAGAAAACTTCTTGTGCAGAAGGATTCGATTTTTAACGATTGACTTGCTTTTAAACTAAAATCTTCTTCAAGTAGCATAGGAGAGATGGTGGAGGGAAAATTACAGATTCAGTTAGGATCTGCCGTTTGGGAAACATTGCTTCTCAACAAGAAATAAAGTAGTTTAACAAGCAAAAGCTTTCTCTTTATCAAAAGCTTTCTCAGGAAAGAACTGGAATATTTAGCAGTATTTTCAGCTGTCAAAGAGCTATTATCGTGGCCACATAATACAGAAATTGAAAAGCTGTAGTGTGGAGTCACTCAGTTCTCGTGGTTCAAGAAATTAATATATCTGGTGAGCACTAAGTAATTCATTATCGTACTCGACTATCTAAAGTCATAGAGAAAGCAAGTTGCTGCTAATTGAATCTAACCCCTGGAGATAGCGCTGGAGTTGTCATGAGACTCGTTAACATTTTCAGAGTAATCTGAATTTTTCTAGTCGGAAAAGGTGCTTTTTTCTCTCTGTTAAAATAAAACCCCACAATCCCCCTCTTCCAATCCCCAAACCCCAAGTTGTGCAACTTAATTCACCTCACGAGGCGGTTGTAGGGCAGAAATAGGAAGTGTTCGTTCGAGTCACAGCCCATGGCTGCTTTCCTTTGTGCGCGGGTCCCCTTAGCAAACCCCGAGACTCCCGAGTGACCTCGGCGACGGCGAAAAGCCCGGTTTTACGGTGGTTTTTATTTTATTTTCTTTTTTTTTAACCAGTCCTCTGCTTAGAAAAGCTGCCTATCCTTGAGATCTCCCGTTGGACTGACAGTAAGGTCGACCGTCGCGGGATTTAAACCCGCTTTCTTGCCAACTTAAAAAAAAAAAAAACACCAACACAAGAACCTGGAGGTTTGAGGCTGTCGGCAAACGGGGCTGCTCAGCTCGCGCTTGATCTCCGCAGATTGCGAGTGGCAGTTGCTGAAGGGCTCCAATAAAGCGCGGAGCCTGGGGGCCGCTCGCCGTCGGGGAGGCTGGAGGGAGGAACAAACAGGGATCTCCGCGCCGGTGCGATGATGTATGAGAGCAATAACGAGCAAGGGGTTTTCTTATTTTTGGCACGGCTCTCCACAAGTGTTTATCGAAGGGAGTGTTACTAAAATTAATGGTACGGCCAGGCCGTTTTAACAAGCTCGTTTCTGAGAACCGCTTTGCTTCTCCATCTCCTGTGTTTCCTCATTTCCACGTTTAACTGCAGTGGAAAGACAAATGGTCGTGACCTCCCTGTTACATTATACTGGCGGTTAGGTGTGTACCGGGGAAGGCCAAAACATGAAAAAAACATAAAGCAAACCCCCTCCACCACCACCTTCCTTGGGTGCTTTATAGTACGTTCTTTAAAATAACCCAACACCTGTTGGAATAGTTACTTCAATGTTTGGCACGGATCCCAAGGAAGCCTTTTTTTTAACGACAAAACCATATGTAGGGGCCAGGCAAAAAGCACAGCCAGTTCTGATATTGTGCTTTTAGCGCTCTGCAGCTCTGAGGTAGAGGGACTGTGACTCATTAAGTGCCACCAGCGCGGAGCGTTGCTCTGGTTTCGTGTACTGCTTAGAGAGCACCGCGTGGTGGTTGCGTGGCGAAAGGTTGCAGAAGAAAAGCGGGGGGTGACACCTTCCCTACTCTTCAGATGGGATCTTTGTGCACTGTTGGATACGACGAGGCGCTGAATATCTTACAAGTCTTAGGGCTGAGGGGATTTTCTGTCCTTTCGTTGAGGAGAAAACTGTCGGCCGCTCTGAGACTGATATCTTGCCCGAATAGTTGAGTCTCTTGAGAGTTTCCGTTTCACGGGGAGGTTTCTAAGAGCTCTCTGTTAAGTTTTGGGTTAATCCAGTCCCTTAGCTAAAGCGTAAAGGTTTTGGCTGACTGTGCATTTGGAAATTGGTGCCTTCTAGAGGAGGTTCTGTAACTAAAAGGGTATTTGAATTGCTTTCCTAGGGGTGGTTTTAAAGTCCCTTCCTGGTGCTGTCGGTGTGCAGTGCGGAACTGTGCTGCTGATCCCGCTCGGCAGCCCTGCCGCCGTTGGTACCGCTCGGCTAGAGGGCTCTGCAGAGGTGGCGTCACGAGCTCTTCCCTCCCTTTGCTGGAAACATCTTCACCCAACCCTGTGTGGTAGCGCCGTAGAGACAGGGCTGCTCCTTTCCATCCTGCCGTTCCCTTTGCTTGAAGAAAGTGTGAAATAAAAAAAAAACCAAAAACCCAACACGTGTAAGCATCCGCTTTGGGGAATGCCGTGTTTTCTAATCCGTCTCCGAACTTTGCTCTTCACAATTCTGGCGTTGGGAGGTGAAGGCTTTCGGATCTGTTTGAATGAAACTGAACCACATTTGTTGATGTACACACTGCAGCACCTTAGCAACCAACCTGCAGCTAGTCCAAGAGCCGAACGTGTGGTCTTTTACAATTCTTTGCTACCAACCTAGGAATGTTCCTGCGTTTCAGAGTGCAAAACCAGCCAGTTGACATCTAGTGAGGAACAACATACGTTATAAAATATGTACTCCTCCACAGTGGGAGGAGAGGCAGCTTATGTAAGCTTCATTTTTTGCTACTTGAATTGTAGTTTCTTGAGTCCTTGGAAAATGCATCCCTGGGATGCATGAGCAGCTGGTTAATTTTGGTATTAGATTCATGGTCAGACTGACACGGGGGTTTATGTCGTGGTTTTCAGAATAGCAGGTGACATAAGAACCATGTGGTTCCACACGGTGGTTATTTGGTTATTTGGAAATCGAATACGATCACTGACTAAGAAGTTGATTTTTCTTCCATCGCTTTACACCATCACGCAAGACCTAACGTGGCTGTTTGCCAGCCGAGCTTTGCGGAGAAGGTCGACGTTTGCTCGCAGAAGTTGAGTTCGTGCTGTTTACAGGTGGTGCCGGTGCTCAGTGATAATGAACGTGGTGTCGAGTCGAGTCGGTTGTAACAGTTGTGAAATAAATGAGTTGCCCTTACAGTTTCCTCCTCCTTTTCTTTTAGCTACAGCTGCAGAAAACCCAATATTTGCAACTGGGACAGAGTCGTGGCCAGTACTACGGTGGGTCACTGCCAAATGTGAATCAGATTGGAAACAGTGCCATGGATCTCCCCTTCCAGGTGAGTTTAATAGGGTGTTGCTTTCTTTTTTGTTGATTGATGCTGTGCCTGGATGCTGTTTCGTTTTCCTCGCAGGAGATCGTGAACCAGCTGCTGGTTCAGAACATAACACCATGGCCTCACCCAGCGTGAAAACTTTTTGCCTTTTTGGGACAGAGCGTAGTTGCGTACGAGCTGTGTGGATATTTTTGTGTTGTGTCTCTCTAGTGTTAGGTACCAGCTCTCCTGTTCCCGGTCGTGATGCTTTTGTGTCAAGAATATGCAGAAGCAATGCGATTTCTGTCAGTGAACGTTCCTGGTGGGGTTTTTTTTTTGGTTCAGTACAAAATTTGTAATGAAATCTGCTGCGAAGATACTGTAGGCTCAAAGGAAAATTGGAAGCAGATAATGCAAGGTGGTGTGGAGAGTGTGCTGGGTGTTCCATGGGAGTCACGTGTGGGTTTTGGGAGAGGAGAAGGGACAATGGGACACAAACCAGGACCAGAAGAGTCACTTTTCTTTGAGCGGGCTGAAAAGTGAATGTAGGGAGGTACTGGCTCTACTTTTCCCCCTCTGTCGTGATTCCAGAGGTGACTCCACTATAAACAGAAAAATGAGTGTTTTATGGGAATATTTTGCTGTCAGTAAGTGTGTTTAGACAGAATATGATGTACAGGGGATGAATACTTTTGGGACTCCCGATTGCTATAGTTAGTTGGTTTAGGGTGCTCAAAATAATTAAAATTTCTGCATTAGTTTTCCTTTCTTTGAGCAATAACACATTTTATCTCACAGGGATGGGGTAAGAATTTGCAGTTTGTGGTTTTCTGATAAAGACTGGCTTAATAAACACGGAGGAACTATTGATGACATCCTCTGTGCCTTTTGAAATGCACATAGACAGCTGAATTTGTGGAGGTTAAAAGCTTGAGTCTTGTGCAAGAGGAGAAGCAAATGTCTGTTTTAATCTGGTCACCTTCAAGGAATACAGTGTGGAGGTTTGTGAGGTTACGAAGTCCTTTGTAGTACTCCACTACTAAGAGACTCTTCAAGATTTTGCCTTTCTCATTAAGGAGGGTCATAGGTAACTGTTCTTTTTAAGCCATAGTTATTTTAGTATTTTTGTGCTTGATGGCCATTACTGATGGTTATTACGTAGACTCTTTTAGTCCTGGAACTAACAAAGTGCTCAAGAGGGAAGATCCACAAATTTATGAATGACTGAAGGGGTGAACACAGAACCAAACTGTCCTTCAACTCCAGGTTTTTTGTTGTTGGTTTTTTTTCCCACACACAAAAATCCAGCGTTGATAGCGTTACAGGTACCAAATGGAGACACGCAACAAAAACAAAACCATGTGTTTGTCTTGAGTGATGAATGCTTTCCGGGTTTTTTCAATTCTGAGCTAGAAGTACGATGAAATTGCCAAAAGATAGGGAAGTGCCAAAAGATCCTTGTACGATGTGCCGCTGAGGTGAAGCCTCTCTGGTGAGAGCGTTGGTGTCTGAGCATCTTGGTTCTTTGCATTTACAGCACAACGGAGCTCTGGCAGAAGCCTTTGGAGCAGTTCCCGTCTCTTTGGTAAACAAGTATTTAGGTTTGTGCAAATACGTATTTAGGACTGGTGTCCGGTTTGCCCAGGTAGATACGTATTTTAGCACACGTTACACTTTTTTCTCTGGTATGCGCAGTATTGATTTGAGTCACCGTCCCGGCTCCCAACGAGTGCTGATCTGTCACATAAATACAGGTTTTGCCATGCATCCCGGTTTGGAACATGCATAAGAATTCCTGTACAGACTTGCTGTGGTCTGTGGTGCGGTTACTTGTGATTTCCGGGGGGGATTCATTCGATGCAGCCGCTGGTTTATTTGGCACTGCCTTGGCCTGTGATTTTAAGCCATCTCCGAGCATGTGCGCTCAGCCTGCATGTCCAACTCGCCTCGGGAAAGGCAAAATGATGACCCAAACGCTGCTTGTCACCGGAGGCACCCAAATGGGACCTGGCAGCAGGTGCCACCCCTCTCTTTCCCCCTCATCCACCTCACTCCTTGTTTCTGAAGCCTTGATCAATCTTAACGGGACACTGTTGCCTCAGAGCACCGAGCTTTTTCCTTCCTGTCTGTATTGAGCTGCTTTTTGTTTTCACGTTTTGCGGAGCTTTGGTTCGGATCTCAGATCCTTGAAAGCTTTTCAGGGAAGCGAAACAGTTCTTCAGGTTTTTTTTGCTCAGATCTGGGTTGTTTTTTTGTTGAAAATCACATTTGTTGACTGCAGCTGGGCACGGTGTGCTCTGCAGGGGTGGGGATCGCCTGGCGCTTGGCCCCAATTTAAGTTTTGTGGGATGGTTGTTGAGAGAAGCCAGGCCTGTTGGAGGTGATACCCATTTCCTCAAGTGTTTGCATTCTTTTCCGATTGCGAGTTCGGGCTTCACCTGGGATCTCTGTTCCTGGAAGGCCACAGAACAGCGTAAATTGTAGCCCCGGGAGGGAGTGTGGTCCCTGTGTGCTTGTCACACTGTTCCACTCAGAGTTTTGCTGTGTTTTTATTAGGAAAGTTGTGCCAAAAAGAAAAAAAAGGAAAGCTTAAGAGAAAAGCTATTTTTGCATTCACCTTTTCGTATGTTCGTATGCATTGGCTTCCTTTTAAATTCTGGGTGATGTCTGCGCTAGGTGTGCTTCACACTGGCTTCTCCTTTTTTAGTAACATTGTGATTGAGGCCACTGGCATAGGAAATTGCTTTTCCTGTTGACCTTCCAAGCACGCATGTATTTGTAATTTTTTGCTGCTTTTTGGGGTAGAATTGATGTAACACCAGTGCAAGGAAGAGTTTGAGACCTTCTGTTGTTGTTTTAGAATTACAAATACTCCCAGTTCTGTGGGCTGCCAGTTAGGCAGAACGAGATTATTGTTCAGTGTTTACAGCAGAGATTAAACCTACGTGTTTTAATTTAAGTTGCTTAAAGCTGAGATGCTACGACTTGAGATTTCTAAGTCTTCATACAAGAAAGCCATACGTGCTGAGGAACTGAAGTCTGATGATCTTAGTGGCTGAGAGTACAGCAAAAAGAGAGTGTGCTCTCTTGCTGGTCCCTTATTGACTTAAGCAATATAGAGCGTTGGCCCTGGAACGAGAAAATAAACACCCCAGCTGCTTTGCATCCATTTACGTGAACACAGGTTGTGTGTGCAGAGAGGGAGACTAATATTTGCTAAATAGAAAAGAGTTTAAAATAGTAGAAAGGGTCTTTAAAAAGGTATAATAAACAAAATGTTTTAAAAGAAATGTAAAACCTTTTAAAAAGCATAATTTTAAACAGCCAAAGCTGGACACTTTCAAGAATAAAAATAAAAAAAATAATGTGGCAGCCAGATGGTTTCATGGCTTGGCAGACAGGACAGTGCGTTGGCCACGTGCAGCACCTGAATGGAGGAGGAAATTTTGGATTTCCAGACAGATGGTGTTGAGGGACTCAGAAAAGCTGTTCACATTGGCAACGAGTGGAAGACTCTCTAGCTTTTTTTTTTCTTTTTTTCACCCCAGAGACCCGTATATTGCTGTTGAAGTAGGAGTAGAGGTTGACCGTTCTGTACTTCCTTCCCCACCCAGGTATATGCAGAGAAGGACTTTTGAAGATGTAGAAGTTTTCCAGTTTAGCCTGAGAGTTAATCTTCGCTGTCCTTTCTCTGCCATCCTCATTCTCTGAAACCACTTGCTGACAAGGAAACGCTCTTGAGATCCCGGCGCTGATAAGATTCAAGATGGAATCAACCCACCAAGGGTCACTGCGCAACCGGAATGAAAAGAAAATCACTTGAAAAATATTGAATGCTCTTTTTCTAGACAGAGGAGGAAGGAAACTGCTTTTACTTTTTTTCTTTCAGTTCTATCAGTGTCCCCTTAAAATCATTACGCAGAAAGGAGGGGTGAAAGGAAGTTTTGAGAGAACGTGGCGTGTTGTGGTGGATGTTAGGCTCACCGCGCAGCTTCCTCCTGCTTCTCCTGCCCTTGTAGTTCCAGCTGGGGTTGTCAGCATGTTCCTTCTGGATGCCTGCTGCATGCTACACCGAGGGAATGGGAACAGCCGTTGTCAGCAGGCTCCCTGCCGCGCTCACTCGGGGTATTTTACAGATCCAAAGGTTGGAGAGCGGTGCTGATTTATGAGAGGGCAGGTCTAGCATGGGCTGCCTCCCCGTGTCTCTAATCTCTGTCTGGAGGAGATGGCCTTGGGAAGTGCTTTCCGTGGCTATAGCGAAAATGTGGTCGGAGGAAAAAACGGACGTGGTTGCGCTTGTCCGTACCTTTTCTGAGTTTCATTCCTTAGCGTAACCCAGCCTTGCACCCAGTACGGATGGGTTCTGGGCAGACTGCTCGCGCACGTGTTTTTCTGCTTACAAGTTCATGTGTCTCTCTCAGACTCCTTTTCAGTCGTCGGCGTTGGACACGAGCAGAACAACTCGGCATCACGGTCTGGTGGACAGAGTGTATCGTGACAGAAACCGTCTCGGCTCCCCACACCGACGCCCTCTCTCTGTGGATAAACACGGAAGACAAATATCCTTTGGCTCGTGAGCTCGCGGTGAACACCTCCCTCTTCACCAATATCGCAGTTTTCAGTTTTAGCAGTTCCCTTCTTCCTCCCCTCCTCACCTGCCAGTGGAGTTCCTTCCCATCTCCGTTCATGTCATCTGCTTTTCCTGAACTGTGAGCTAGTCTATAAATACCTGCTGTTCTGTCAAGTAAGCATTTACCTTTCTCTCCTCCCTCAGCTCTAAGTGGGGATAATGATACACGTGAAGCGGAGAGAGGTTGAGATCCTTTGATGGAAAAGGCAAGGCAGGCTCGGTGAAACTGAGTTTCCCTTCGGAACTGAGTAAACCCAAACCAGAATAATTCTTTGCAGTTCTTGTGCATTTTATTGCAAGTTGATTCGTCAGTTCGGTGTTTGGCAAGCGCTGTTTCTTGCCGTTTGTGAAAATGAATGGACTACTTCTCCAAATGTGCCACAGTCAGACTGGCTTCAGGGGGTTAAAGGGAAATGGGAGAGCAAGGAGATGGCAGCTTCTTGGGGAAGAGTTAGAAGCTCAGAAAGGGAAGAGGGTTGTCCTGTTGCTCAGGCATTGCAACAATCCAGATAATACTTCGTTCTGAGCGCCCGTTTGAAGCCAGTGTGTTCCCTGTTGGGAGTCGGCTGGCCTTCCTCGGGTGAGCTTAGTGGTTCTGACAGGGTATTTTGAATTATTCCTTGGGAAGAGATTTGAAGTAGGCTTTCTGCTTAAGCGAGAAAGTGGTGTTCTTCCCCTTAACAGATGAATCACGTGGACAGCTGTCCGTACGGCACTGTGTATCTGTCCCCTCCATCGGACACAAGCTGGAGAAGGTCAGTAGAGCGATCCTGTGCACGCGTGTGGGTATTTGGGCTGCGTTCTCTGACGCTCCAACACTTCCATGTGCAACAAAGGCATTTATTGTTCCCCACAGCAGTTGGTCAGTTGAACTGCCTTGCTGTCCCGAATTTAGAAATGTTTTTTTTCCCCTTCTATTATGCTTATCCTTTTACGTGACCTGCTTTTCAAATGAAGGTGTGTCAGCTAAAGCAGTCTTTGTGAAGGTCCATCCTGCCAGCTGTTCAAGGCATACCCCAGAACTGTTGAGTTGTAAAAGAGTCGGAGATTTCTCACTGTGCAGAAACTGGGTTAGTCTGCCCTGGCGAGCATTCGAGTGGAAAGGAGCCCTGAGCTGCCTGTTCCTGCCCCTCGCGCTCCTGGCGTTGGATGTGCCGAGTTGTCTGAGGGGTGGCCTCCATCGTCCACGACCTCAGGACGGTTCATCCTGGGGGATGTGTTGGCCGCGGGGGTTCCCCTCTCCACAACATCCTTGCATCCTGAAATTTTCCCTCCCTGTGGAACGGGGATGCTTTCTTTTCGAAGACTCGGGTAACTCCAGTGCCTGGTAGCAGCTTTCAAGTTCAAATTTGCATTATTCGGTCATTCATAACCTTAACAAAGCATGTCAAATTATTTTCTAACGATGGCAACCAATTTATCCTCTATCCCTCTCAATCCCATTATTGAAACAGTTGCTCTTCAAACTTGAACTAATTTGTTCTGCAAATTGATTGTTTCGCAAGGAAATTGTGCCTGGTATGTGCCACATATCGATTTTGCGGGTTTTTAATGCAGAGTGTTCAGGTTTTACCGAGTTGGTTACGTTTATCTGAGATTAAGCATTCTTTTATTTAGAGAAACTGACAATAAAAATATATTTTTTTTGCCTTCCTTTCAGGACAAATTCCGATTCTGCTTTGCACCAGAGTACTATGACTCCAGCTCAACAAGAATCCTTTTCAGGAGGGTCACAGGACATGCAGCAGAAAAGAGGTGAACGGAGGAAACCAGTAAAAATATTTGTAACATTCAAAGCGTTGTACTTCAGATTATATGCACACATGTTGGTGTTCATCTATTTCTATAAATACACATACACGTAACGCTTTCTAGGCGTGGTTGCACAGGAATTGGAACAAAGGACCGCATTTACTTTCTGGGTACTGAAATCCAGAAAAAATTCTGCAGAGCCGAGAGACAACGTTTTCCTGAGCCCCGTGTTCTGTGACTCTAAGACCTTGCCCTGTGGGGAAAAGGAATCTGAGCTTGTGGGACTCTGGTGGTTGGGCGGTACTACAGGTTTGCAATTTGTAGGAACTTGCAGCAAAGTGTAGAAATCATGAACATTTCATGGTCAGTGACCCAGCAGCAAGATTTCATCTAGTTTTTATTTACGGGCTTGAGATTGCCGGCGGATATCCCCTCGGAGGCAATGCTTACAAGCCGTGCTCCCTGATAACATTTCTAGTTACGAGCCCGAGTAGCCCCGACACCAACAGTCCTGGTGCCCTCTGCCGGCCCCTGCTCCTGCTCTCAGCTCAACAAACACGTTCAGAGCTGCTAAATCCATGTAGAAACCTTAAACAACCACCTGGAGGTAGGGAAGCCTGCAACACTCGTGTGTGTATGTGCTGTGCTGAAGCGCTTCTCTGTGCTTCTGGAGCTGTAAAAGATTAACTAATGATCATCTTTAGCAGTATCGCATAAATACGGATTTATTGTCATCCCCATGAGAGAGGGTCCTGTTGCTACATCTCTCTGGGATTTCTTTTGATGTTTCTTTGTCACCTTGCTCTCAGCGCGATGAGACAGTTGGTTGCTTTGAACAAGCAGCGGTGCTTGGAGTCTGGAGAAGTAACGGCTTTGTAGCGGTTCTCTGTCCCAGGGAAGATGATCCGGATTTTTCCCCGCCGGAATCGTCCTGTTGGCCGCCAGTTAGATGGGGCAAGCGTGCGTCGCTTGTGCAAAATGCAAAAGATTGGAGTTTATCCCAAGATAAACTCTTGTGTTTAGATCTAAGCAGACTAAATTGGAGGCCAGCATTTTTTGAAGTATGATTTGGGGTGGTTGCTTTTGGTTTTCTGGAAGCTAATAATGTCTCTTTGCTAATTAAACATACTTTTAGTCTCTTCTGATGTGTGGTGTTTTTTAAGTTTTGATCTCATAGCAGTGGAGTGCCACTTTCCTATTCATTCATAGTAGGTTACCTGAGAGTTTTCAAACGGTTAAGCTTCCAACCTGAATGTTTCTGGCTAAGAATCTTAATATTATGATACGATTCCTATTGTTCTCATTTTTTAGTTTTATTACTGACTGTCCCTGGAATGGAGGAAGCCACCTCTGAGGCAGACAAAACCCTCTCTAAGCAGGGGTGGGACACTAAAAAGGTAGGAATCTCACGTTTCAAAACACAGGGATTTTATTTTCTAAGCATACCTAGGTAAATTAATGTTATACATGTTGTAAATGAAAACAAACTACTTGCAGCGATTAGAGATTAAATGCTGTGTTTAGCAACAAATTGTTAAACATTAGATCCAAAAAGCACTTTATGTGAATGTGTGTGCAAGTGTTTGATTGTACCAGGAGAAGCTCTTTACGTTTGAGCCTTGTTGGGCGAAAAAGCAGCAACAGTGACAGATACCTTACGAGAGCTTCACAGAGCTCTTGTGTAGAAGAATAGCTCTTCTGCAGAAATGTGTTAAATTAAATAAAATGTGCTAAGTGCAATATATTCTAGAAAGTCTCTGGTAGTATCTTTGCCTTTAAAAATGTCTTCCTTCTATTTCAGGCTGGGTCATCAAGACCTAAATCATGTGAAGTTCCAGGAATCAAGTAAGTTTTGAACTTTTTTTTTCCCCCCTCCAAAAGACCATTGAGATCTTTAAGAAAGAATGTTGGGTATTGAATGTCCTCTTGCTTTTTAGTCTTGTGAAAATCCCTTAAACACTCTAACACTGAAGTAGATACGAGACAAGCCAGAGCCTCTGTGAGTGACCCACTGGCTGTTACATCTCTGGTTTATCAGAAATACGACGTATAGTTCTTTATAGAGCCCTTTACTTTTCTTAAAAAAGATTTTCTAAAGACCTGCCTGGGCTGGAATTGAACTGGAGACGTGTCTTTTTTTTCTTTTTCTCTCTCCCTTACTTAGCATCTTTCCGTCAACTGACCAGGAAAACACTACAACACTGATTCCTGCTACGCATAACACGGGCGGCTCCCTGCCGGACCTGACCAACATCCATTTCCCTTCCCCTCTCCCGACACCGTTAGATCCTGAGGAATCCACGTTCCCAGCCCTGAGTAGCTCCAACAGCACCGGAAACCTTGCTGCCAACCTGACTCACTTGGGCATCAGCACTGCCAGCCAGGGTAAGATCACAGCTCCGCGGGGTTCCTACACGCTGCCTGTGAGAGCTCACTTGAATTAAGTGATGGAAGTTGCGCTGCTGCCGGTTGCTGGTTTGTCCGAGAGGTAATTGCGCTTCTCTGTTGATTGACATTCCTTGATAAACAAGTTCCATCGAGCCGTTCCTGAATGACGAAGCGAGAAGGCTGTGTTTAGTTATCTGACTTACAAACTGGCTTCCGTTTTTCTCACGTTCTTGGTGACCAAATCTGCTTTTTTTTTTTTTCCTCCTCATAATTTATTTTGTGTAGAAGACTTTAAGAGAGACCAGCATGCAAAGCTGCCCTTATAAATCATTGTACTTAACGCAGTTGCACTCATGTTCTGGAAGTACCTTAAGCAGGCCTTTTGTTTTCGTTCTTATGGAATGTTTTGATTTTTTTCAGTGTGAAGATTGTTTTGGGAGGTCATTGCTAGCTTCATCTGAAGCAAATTCTCTCTTTTTGAGCAATCAGCACTAACGTGGAGCCTTTCAGAGGTGTGCTCGCTTTTGTAAGCTCGACTGCTCAAGTTTCAAAAATATCTTGAACATTCAGGCTCCCTAATGCAGCGGGGCTTTGGGAGGCAATACCTTAATTTCTCACAGCTCTCACTATTGGCCTTGCAAATGTTGCCTTCCCAGCAGCATAGTTTTTGTTGCAAGTTCTTCTCGCTGTTTGAGCTGTGCAGAAAGGTGACTCTGAGGGGTGTTTGGGGGCTTTGACAACACTGATCGTTCCATTAAAAAGAAACGAACCACAGACCAGTGTTATTTGCCGTGCTGACAATTTATAATACGCTGATCACCTGATAAGCTCGGAGTTAAGTTTAACTTGGTAGGCAGATAACTTGAACTCTGGTGATTGTTATTTTTTTAGATAATTTCACTGGCTCACACTCAGATGGTTGTGAAGAGGGTTGCTTTTTTTTATTGTCACTGACAATTGCAGTCACTCGATTCCTAGAATGGAAACAAGGCGCTGGATCCAAAAATACAAGGATATTTCCTGTGTTAGGCAGGATTCCCTTACCCACTTAAAAATCCTCTCACGAGGTGGGAAAAGGAAATAATTCTAATCAACTTACTGTAGTGTTGCGACTGAGCAGTTGAGAATGAAGCAAGGAGGTGGTTTAACCGTTTCAGTACGGAGCAGGTCAGCACCTTGCAGCACCCTTGAACAAGTTTCCTGGGCTCGGAAGAGATGTGGTGGAGTTTGAGACGGGCTGTTGCTCGAGCAGAGCTTAGCGAGTCTGTGCTGAGAGCACTGTTGTGTGCATAAGAAGAAACAAACTGCTTGCATGGAGTTAGGCCAGACTGGGTCACTCGAGTTTTGGCACTACCCATAATTAGCAAAGTAAATGGTACAAAACCAAACGGGTAAGTATGTAATTGCTTTGAAAACATTTCCTGATCTCGCAAAGGTGTAATGAATTAAAAAGATACACTCATTGATGAATTTCCTCCTTGTCTTTGGAGACTATCCCGTAGTTTAATCATTGGTGTGATTGCTGTTTGGTGCTTTTTTTAAGTGATTTTTTTCCAAGCCTTCCTTGCCTCTCTCAGTCTTCTCGCTCCTTAGCAGAAAACATAAAGGCTTTTGAACCTTTGGCAGGAGCTCCGTGCCTTGCACAGACCTGCCCTTGCAGCCCCGAGACAAGGTGGGGAAACACGCACCTGTCGGGTCGCAGCGAAGCTCCGGCGGTTGAAGACCGCGTGTTTGTATGGTTTGAGTTTGTCAGTTCGCTGACGCGTTCCGTGAGACGGCGTTGAGTTGGGAAACGTCGCAGGGGAAGCCAGGCAGTCCTCAGAATCTGCACGGTTCGAGCCAGTTTGCCTGCTGGCTCCTTGGCAGCCCGGGCTTCCTGGCTCCCTGGCAGCCTGCCTGGAAGCCTTGAACATTTGCCAAGTGCTGAGGAGCTGCAGGCTCTTATGAATTCCTCCTCTCTGGCAGCTCTGGAAGAGCAGCTCAGTAGCTACGTTGCCCTAAAATCACTTTCCAGGGTGTCTCAGTTCCTCTAGGGTGAGGCAGAAAGTACAGGAGGCTTCAAAACTTCCGGATTTTGGTCTTGAAGTTGAACTGAATTACAATACTTGAATTGTTTATCCCTAACCCCTGCTAGGTCGCGGCTCTTCAGAGTGTGAAGGATGTTTCCTGCCCTCCTGTGCGCTGCTATGCCGTTAGAAGTGGAGTACTTCCTGTGCAACCAGTTTTTCTCCTGCGTTTTCCGTTAAATAGATGTTTGCTTTTATAACATCTCGAGCGCCCTCCGAATAGGGCCGTTCCAGGGTCAGTTCCCTTCTTCCTGAAGGAGCCCTTGCAAGCGGAGCAGAACGTGCCTCCCCTGGCTTCAGTGCACGTGCGAGAAAGGTTCCTTTGGTTCAATTTCAAATCTGTGTGAACCTGAACAACCGTGACAGGTTTTGGTCCAGGATAAACCGCGGGCATCTTCCTCTTGTCCTGACGCTCCTCAGCCTGACCAAGCTAATTGCAAATTGGCTAACGAGTTTCGGCCCGGCTGGCCGAGGTGCATTTGGCACTTTTGTTGTCCGCTCGCGCCGTTCGTTTTTTGTCGTTTGGGTAATTACCTGAGTGCAGATATCAGTAAACCTTTGCTCTGCTCCCTTCCCGGCAGGAATGACGACGACGCCAGCCCCCTCGCAGCAGCACCGCCAGCCGGCTGTCAGTCCCCTCTCCTTGAGTGCCGACTCGCGACGGCCACAGTCTCAGCAAATGTCTCCTACGCTTTCCCCTTTGTCACCGATTACTCAGGTAGGAACTTACTTGGAGAATTAAGATTTATCAGTTGCAGATGAATTATTTTACCTAGGGAGAAGCTTGGCTGTAATTTCATCACTCTTGTTCTGTAATTTTCGTCTTTAAATGTGTTCATTAATTCGGAGAGATTTGCAGAAGGGACAGATTTTACTTTTGCTTTTCTAGAACTGTGATAAAAAACAACTGGTAGGACATTTCTGTATTGCCCCAGAGTTACTTGTGAAATTTGAAAGACGCTTCTGTAATTGATGAGAGAAGCTCAGTTTGCTTTTCTAATTGATCTCATAAGTGTGCCTCAGTGACTGACTAGGTTATCGATTTCTGACCTGGATGGTCGACTGGGCTTTTAGATTATTTGCTTATTGTACACTAGAGATGATGTATAAAGTCTTTTGAAACATATTCTTGACCGTTTCTGAACTTTTTTAAATGTGAGATTGACTTAATACAGTTCTCTTGGTGTGCAACTTGACGTGCTTGAAAATGAAGGGGAACAATTTGCCAGCGTGGATGATTTTGATTCTTCTTTTTCAAGGCCGTGGCTATGGATGCTTTGTCTCTGGAGCAGCAGCTTCCCCCGTACCCATTTTTTACCCAGACCACTTCCCAGCAGCAGCAGCAGCAGCCCCAGGTGGCGAGCACCCTGCCTCAGAACACTCCTTTAATGCAGACCTCCGGTTTACAGCGAGGAACGCAGCTCCCCCCACTCTCCGTCACGGTACCTTCCTCCATCCCGCAGTCACCTCCGGGGAGCCAGACCCAACCCTCGATGGGCATAGACATCAACTCGGTAAGCTTGGGCACGGCTTTTATTTGGGAAACCTGGCAGCGTGCAGCCTCGCACCTGAGATCATCTCAAGCCCTTCTGATAAATCCGCTTTTAGGTGGAGTCCGAGGTAGACTCGGAACGGTTTCAGTTGATTCCGCAGTTAAATAATTTATAAAGGATACTTCAGTTGAACGTGCGCTTAGGGTGGCTGTATTTTTACAAAACAGAGCCCTTTGCCATTCCATGTTTGATAAGCCAGCTTCCATGTACCAGCGTTCATTTGACACCTCGCTGCTGCCGGGGCGTTGGTAGGTTTTCAGGCTGTAAAACGTGACGCCCCTCCAACACGTCGCGTGTTGTTCGCTGTGCTGTAGACCGGAGGAGCTAACGAAGCTTTGATAAAGAAACCTGCTAACAAGCACTTCCCAAAAGCTGGAGAGAACCAGGTATTAAATTCTTTACTTCCTTTATTTGGAACCCTTTCGCTTTAAGAGTTTAAGAGCATACGGTATCTTCAAAAACGAGATTCGTGGCTGCCTTCACATGCCCAGAAGAAATGCAATATTTACCAACATAGGCCTGTGAGTTACAGATAGACTTTTTTTTGCTTTTTTTTATATTAACATGGTCTATTATAAATCATTCTCTCTGTCTCTGCATAGGAAAATCTGAAATGCAGAACAAGAGCAGGGTTACAGCCTAGCTAGGCAAGAATTTCACAGCTTGTTTTCTGCTCGTTCTGCCCTCCTGTGTAGGGTCTTGGTTGTCTGCCCTGTTGTGTCCTCCTGGCAGTGTTGTAGCGACAGTAATTGGTTTGAGGATGAGAAGAAATCATCATCTATTGATCTAACAGTTGATTGGGGCTGACATTTGTGGATGAAATTCTTGAAAGAAGCTGCTTCCCTTTTGAGATGGGAAGGGGAAGAGGGAAAGACAAATCCAACAGGGGTAGGATACCCACCCACTCAAAATGTGTCCCAGATTCTAACGCTCACCAGCACAGATGATTCTGATTTTCATTCTTTGCTTTCTGTGTTGCTCTCCTAGTCCTGAACTTCTTTATGACCTTAACATTTAGGGTGCTCTGCTTATCTTTTAAAGCAACTGGAATAACTGGTAAATTCAAAGCTAGTTTATCGCGAAGCTGTTTGAGCTGCGTTGCAGTCCCTCTGACCGCTCCTGCGCAGTTCTTACAAAGCAGGGTTGCGGTTTATTTTGGTGTAGTTTGAACGTCTGCTAAAAGTGCATAGGTAGCAGTGTGGAGCAAAAAGGGTTAAGAGAGATGTTCTTGAGATTTGCAGAATTTGGTGTCAGGAAGCGTTGATAATACAACGTTCTCCTGCTGCCTCTAAAACGGCTCCTTTTTGTAGAGCTCCTGGATTGCAGCTTTTCCTTGATTGTCTGTTGATTTCTAAAGGAAGCATAATGAGAAGAGCTGTACTATTTACGTTCATTAGTGCAACGTTCTATTTAAATGCCATTACAGTTATTAATTTATTCAAATCCAGGATTCTTTATAACCAAAAACTGGTAAATCCTTCAAAATGTGTTCTCAGGGCTCCTGAGAACAGCGTAAACGTTACTAATACAAACCTGGAAAGCGTAGTGTGAATTCTCAGGAGTCTGTTCCATGCCCTGGGGTGAAATGCAGCTTCGAGAAGGATTCTGGTCCG